ATAGAATTGATGGCAGTGAGTTTTGAGTTTGGTTTGGGCCAGACTACTCACCTAAAGGTTAACAGTTCGAATCCACCAAGCAATGCCGAGGAAGAAGGCCTGATGCGCTACCCCTGCAAAGATTAGCCCAGAAAACCCTCGGGGCATTCTACTGTCACATTGTCTCCTTATGAGCCAGAATCCACTGGAAGCAAATAAGGTTTTCAAAACAGATGGGGGGTGGGGGGGATGGTAGGTTTAATTCTGAATGGTGAGGCAATAAGGGTGTAAAACCCTAGAAAGCGGAAGGGTGTAGGAGGATGCCAGGGCTAGAAATAGCTGTGAGGTGTTGTGAATACTTTCATTGTGCGTTTCGTTGAGTTGTACATGGCGTTGCCCACTGCATGGCACCTAACAGCAAGCACATCGAGTCCATATCTTATGTTCGAGACCTTGGCAGTAATGTTGAATACCTTAGCCCATTTCGTCCTTACACACAAACGCCCACAAACACTGAACAACAAAACAAAAGGAGACCCTGTGGAGTTTAAGGAGATTGAGGTTCCGGGAGATGAAACCCAAGGTGCTTGCCAGTGTCCGTCTTTGAGGGTGAAGCTGTTCGCCGTTTGCACCGGAGCCCCCGTGTCAGGGGGTGTCTGCTCCCCACGTCACCTCATAATGTTGCAAACATAATACTAGCATCCAACACCTCCACGCAGTGGCTGACCCTGTGTGCCTCCTTGCCTCTCCCCTAGGTACCTGGCCATCGTGCACCCCTTGAAGCCCCGGATGAAGTATCAGACGGCCAGCGGGCTGATCGCTCTGGTCTGGATGGTCTCCATCCTCATCGCCATCCCGGCCGCCTACTTCACCACCGAAACGGTCCTCCTCATCACCAAGAGCCAAGAGAAGATCTTCTGCGGCCAGATCTGGCCCGTGGACCAGCAGATCTACTACAAGTCCTACTTCCTGTTCATCTTCGCCATCGAGTTCCTGGGCCCCGTCGTCGCCATGAGCCTGTGCTACGCCCGGATCTCGCAGGAGCTGTGGTTCAAGGCGGTGCCCGGCGTTCAGACGGAGCAGATCCGCAAGCGGCTGCGCTGCCGCCGGAAGACGGTGCTGGTGCTCATGTGCATCCTCCTGGCCTACGTGCTGTGCTGGGCGCCCTTCTACGGCTTCACCATCGTGCGCGACTTCTTCCCCACCGTGTTCGTCAAGGAGAAGCACTACCTGACGGCCTTCTACGTCGTGGAGTGCGTCGCCATGAGCAACAGCGTCATCAACACCCTGTGCTTCGTCACCGTCAAGAACAACACCCTCAAGTACTTGAAGAAGGTCATCCTGCTCCACTGGAAGTCGTCTTACCACGGGAGCAAGTCCAGCGCGGACCTGGATCTCAAAACCACGGGGGCGCCTGCCACGGAAGAGGTGGACTGCATCAGGTTAAAGTAGCCTGTGCGACTGGTGGCGTGGACACGCTCTGCTCTCGGCTAGCGGCACAGTCAATGGACAGACAGCACCGTGGGCACTGCCACTCGGACAGCTTCACCAGTGGCTGATGCTTATCACACACTGGGTAGGGTGGCCACCCTAGATAGGGTGACAACGTTTAGTTGTAAAAATGTATGAGGAATAAAACCCGGGAGACTGTTGGACAGGGTTTGGCAGTAATTGCAGAAGGGAGCGCCCATCGTTCTTGTGTTCAGAAGTGGACCACCTCTGCCACTCATCAGATGCATCAAGAAATTCCTTTGGGGTGGCTCTCAGGCTGGAGCTAATGCCTAACCATTGCAAGACTGGGGCAGGCATACAGAAGAGGCTTCCGCCTCTTGTAACCTGCCTTACCATCCCCGTTTTGATCCTCACCGTGAGAGGCCTGGCATGCATGCCCATGGACACCCCAATACGCGTGACCAAGTTGTGTCCATGTCCTTTCACCAACATGGCCCTGTGGTCACCAGCTCTCAAAAGCGAGTGGGGAAGAGTGTCCTCCGAACCAGCCAAACCTGATGGGTTACCCGATCGGTATGAGCCACGGGTGCCTGAATCCTGTCTTAGTTGTTAATTCCTTGGTCCAAGAACCTCTTTTAGAATGGAGCTACTCTTAGATGGGGTGCTCCCTTACGTTTTTTGCAAATCCAGTCATGTAATTCAGAGACGGAGTCCCAAAGGAGCATTTATAGGGTTGAGGGAAGTCCCAACAATGGGCTCCAGTGACCCCATGTGCATACTGCCGGCACTTCCCACTTCCTGGAGCCAGGGTGGTGTCATGGTTACACGTTGCGTTGCTAGCCAAAAAGTTTGAAAAACACCAGCTACTGAGAGAAAGATGAGGCGCAAAGCCTAACTCTCCCACAAAGAGTTACAGTCTTGGAAACCCACAGGGGAAGTTCTGCCCTCTCCTATAAGGTCACTGTCAGTCAGAATCTATTTGAGCTTGGTTTGGGTTGTCCTGCTTCCTAAAGGGTCCTCTTTTATGTTGGTGCTTGGAATTCTATTTTGGAGTTTGGGGTTCGAGACCAGAGATTTGAAATCCGTCACCTGTTTGGCTCTGGGTAAAGCATATGTCAGAGGACATGGAGGAAACGAAGAGTGAGTCAGGAGAGCTGGAGGGAAACTCATTCAGTCGAACAACGTATGGACTGAGAAAAACCCATCACGCTGATGAGCTTCATGTGGGAGCTTCAGCACCTCCTGTCCATTTTATTCTTCATGTGAATTATCTCCTTACCCCTCTGAGCAGTGCTGTGGCATTGTTTTAATAACACATCCATATAAACATAGCTGTGAAATTTGCTGGCTGAGGCATGAAAGGAAATGGTGGTTCCGTCTCCAGCCAGAAGACGTGTTGGGGGTTTTGAAACACTCCGGAATCTGAGCATGCCCGTGATTGGGGCAGTAGTGACCATCCGCTAACGTCTGTTCCCGGCTAGCATGAATCTAGGCTTGTGTGATAGCGGTTGCTCTCCCTGTTTTAGTTGCGTGTGCACAGCTTTCTAGTGACTGGTCCTTTCCCTTGTGTTTAATTCCAGAGCAACATATTTATAATGCTGTATAAGTGACACCCTGTGTGGAAATTTTGCCCCTCAAATATAGACAAACACTTTTTTGGTAGCAAGATGTATTGTTTTAATTACCTTTTTCCTCCTGGAAGTCATGTTTCAAAAGCCTATTTGTTTCTTCCCATTCATCAACCCCAAAATGCACCACTTAGTTTCATCAGGATGCTTTTAATGATAAAAAAAAACCACTAGCCTAAACCAAGGATGCGTTGGCTAATTGAGAAAATCATGCCTTGCATTCTACAATCAGGAAAGGCAGTATTTAGATTATTGAGATGAAGAATAATCAATCAAATGGCATCCTTTTCTTGGTGTGCTAGCATTTTCCATTATGAATGTGAGCTAAGACTTCAGGGTACTAACTGGGAGCTTTATACAACAACGGAACCCTCTTCTGTTTCCCAATTTAAAATATATCAGCTTTTCACACTTTTAACTGTAACATTTCTGGATATGAATATCTACTTGTGATTGTACAGTGAATGAAAGTGCTGTGTTGTTATCAAGTGAAATAAAAAATATATACGAATACGTGGAGTTGTTGACCATGATGTTCTTGTGATTTTGGTCCTAGATGTAGTGTGATGGGCCTTTATGAATTACAAATACAGTTCTTTTTTTTTTTAAATCATTTTATTAGGGGCTCATACAACTCTTATCACAATCCATACACACATCAATTGTGTAAAGTGCATTTGTACATTCACAAATACAATTCTAACTCTTGCTCTTCATGCCTATAAATGTTCTCTTTCCGTTCAAAATGATGTAAGTGATGTACATTCCCTCCCTAGATATTGGCTCTGGTAAAGCCATTAATATTCTTTTAGCATCGGAGCGCCAAGACTTGAATTTGAGCACCTGGTTTTGTCTGTAACATAAGCCAAGGTCATACCTCTAGACAGGCTTACCATGGCCAATGCCAAGTGAGCATGTTCAGATCAGTGGCTGATTCATTGTGCACTGCCAGCTGCAAACCTGCCCAGCGGGTGGTTCCTCCAAAGGCTGGTGGTAAGATGGACAGGGTCCCGCTTGTACCTTGTGCGTGTCTTTTCTGCTCTTAAAATACTTGCCAGATGCAAAGATGCACACAGTGTCATGTACAGAATGGTTGGCAAACTCAAACAATTTCCTCAATGAACGCAGAAGACACGGTCAGATTTACAGCGACAGGTCTGCAGATTTTGTCTCCTGGGGTTCAGGTTTAAAAGTACTTTCTTAAATGAACGACACGACAACCCAGAGCCATGGCCAGCTGTCAAGCGTGAAACAAGTTCCATGTGAACGGGCTGGAAAATTATATAAAGGAGTCCTGTCTCTTTTTAAAAAAATGGGATAATGTAAATGAGAACAGTAAATTCAAATGATTTATTGCACAACTGAGGACCCGGAAGCCCAGGAGGGGAAGAGAGCCGTTCAAGGTCACACCGCTGGGCACAGAGAGCCAGGGGTAGAGCTGAGAGTTCCAGGTCTGGGCCTGGGTTCCTCTCTCCCAGCATGCCTGGATACAGACAGTACCCAACTCTTGCAAACAGCAGGATCCTTTCCAAGAATTCAGGGGGTGACTGTTCAGGCCCAGACTGACCTTCCCTGGAGACCTTATGGAATTTTGCAGTGATTGCTGGCTCCTTCGCAAGTCAAGTTTAGTTCATGCCACCCCTGGGAACTGACAGCATCGGCCTGCAGATGCAGGGTTGGGGGAAGAACTGCTGAACAATGGTCACCTGCTGCTCTTCCCTCAAGGAGCCCCAGCGGTACAACGTGGTAAGCATTGGGCCACTGACCTCCCACCGGACGCTCCTTGCGTCGATTGATAGGCTCAGAAATCCGATGGTGCAATTCTTCTGTGCCCTGTTGGGTCACTAGGAGGCAGGCTTGACCCGATGGCAGTGAGTCTGCAGGCTTTTGCTCTTTCTTTTTCTTGCTTGTTGAGAGCTCCAAGGAATGAAAGGGGACAGACAAGGCCCCCCGCTATCGACAACAGCTGCTCTGCCCCAGGGAAGCAGAGGAGAGAGAGGAAGAAGCTGTGTTTGTGCTGAGCGGAGTGTCCAGGCTGTTTGGCAGCATCTGAATTCCGAGTTCAGAGCTCCCCCTGAAAGGTGAGAGAGGTGATGGAGGCTGTTTGGCCAAGGTGGGCCTTGCATTGGACAGCACAGGGCAAGTGGGGGATAGAGAAGCAAATTGGGGGACGTTTCACATGGAAAAACAAAACATCTTCTGGAAATAAATTCTTTTTTTCCTGTGGGCAATGCTTCCTTACACAACGATGGGATTGTCTTCCCTGAAAGAAGGAGTTTGAAAAACTAGAAATGCACAGGGAAGGAAGTATGTCATATCCAAGTCTTATCTGAGGGCAGGATTGGGTAGGAGGGGAGGGAGGGAGTGCGAGAGGCTGGCCTGTGTAAAGCAGTGTCCGCGATGGGGTGCGGGAGGCATGTGGTAATGAAGAAAGAAACAGCGGAAGAAGACCCAGAGGAGGCCACTGAGCACAAATTCAACGGACTCTGATGCCCCCCGAGGCTGCGCTGAGCGCCTTTCAGGCACTGCTACGTCACCCAGCCTTCACAGCTACCCTAAGCATCAGGAGCAAGCGAGCACTGTAGTCTGCAGAGGCAGGAGTGGCAGCTCAGAGAGGCGGTGGCTCTCACTCCGGGTTGAACCCGGACTCAACGGTAGGTACGCTGAGGTGGGAACTCAGGCAGTTCAACTGTGCCAAGCAGAGCGCGGGCTGTTCACCACGTGGTAGAGCAGCCTTTAAGTCATCTTCCCAGGCCTTCCTGGTGACTTTTAAGCAACCCGAGTGAATACCTCTATCCCTAAGTATACTGAAGAGGTAATAAATCATCTCATACTCATCTCATATGTAAACCAGGTTTTCTCAAAAATGGAGAATATATCATTCCTGCCTTCATTCCCCCCTCTGTCTGAGGAGTTTGAGCCCCCTTCATCAGCCAGCCCTTAACCTTTGAGCACCACTGGTGCTCTGGATTCCTAACAAAGCTTGGAGTCCCTTCTCAAATAATGCTTTCAAATGTATTAGCTCTGTAGGTATGCAGAGAAATAGATTGAAATACAATTATCAAAATATATTCAATATCACTACAGGGAACCCCCATCATTTTGAAGTAGCGATGCATATGAATGATAGGATGAGCTCTTTCCCAAAACTACAATAGCATATGAAACTACAATAGCATATAAAACTACAATAGCATATAAAATTTCCTATAAAATGTCTGTGATTTCTTTTGGCAACAGCCTTAGAGACTCTTGATCCTAGAGTGGCCTATTGCCTTCTTCATAATTGTAGGAACTGCTGGATTAGGTTAAAGGGCAGGGAGACTGACAGCTCCTCCCCACATTCCCCATCCAAATTCATGACCGTGGACCCACTAAGAAAGGCAGCTCTAAAGGAGAGATGAGGCAAGAACATATGGGAAGAGGCACTGGTGGAAATGGAGATGCCTGGAAAGAGATCAACACAGACAGAGATAGAATTAAATCAAGAGCTCTTGGGCACGTTTCTTGTAAAGGTACCTCAGTGGGTATTGTGGCTCGCCAACTTTCTTCCCCCAACCTTTCCCAGTGCTCCAAACCCCGATGAGGATGGCAAAGATTGACCCAAGAAACCAGGCAACGTCTTTTCTTATTACCTAGGGATTCAGGTCTGTTTTGTGAGAGTATTCGATACATGTTTATTGTCTTAAGTTCTAATGTTAGAGAGATGAAAAGGACACAATTCCAGCTCTTATCACTTAATGTCTTAAGGTGTGTTAGGCTGTGTTGACTAGAGAAACAAATCCAGGGACACTCATATATATGTAAGAGAGAGCTTTCTATCAAGAAGTAATTATATATTAAGTAAACACCCCAGCCTAGCCCAGATCAAGTCCATAAGCCCGATACTACTCCATAAGCCTGATACTAATCCACAAATCCCTCGAGGCTCATGCAACCACACACAATGATGCAGAATGCACAAAGATCACGGGCCAGTGGGTGCAAAATCTTGTAGATCCAATGGTGATGGACGCATCTCTAGGACTCTGACAGCCATCCGTGTGGATTGAAGTGGTTTGTTAACAGGAAGGTGAAGCATAGAGCCACTTATCTCAGTTGCACTCCAATCAAGCTGCCACCTGATTGACAGACTAAGCTCCACCCACACATTCCTACGGGAGTCATGTTGGCACAAAACCCCCAACTATCACATAAGGAGAGACTGCAAAAGCAGGGATGCAGACTTCACCTATTGAG